GGCTATACTTGAAAAATGATCCAGCATTTCTTTGATATATACTTGATGTCCAAACAACAAGCAAATCTTTACCTAATTGGGGTATAGTCTTAAGGTGTCTGGGTATTCTCTGTTTTCAATGAAGTTTGGCAAGTAGTAAGAAAAAAGGTTATTAAAGGTGAGAGGCTATATTTAAATAATGATCCAGCATTTCTTTGATATATATTTGATGTCCAAAAAACAAGCAAATTGTTACCTATTTGGGGTATAGTCTCAAGGTGTCTGGGTATGCTCTGTTTTAAATGAAATTTGGAAGGTAGTAAGAAAAAAGGTTATTAAAGGTGAGAGGCTATATTTAAATAATGATCCAGCATTTCTTTGATATATATTTGATGTCCAAAAAACAAGCAAATTGTTACCTATTTGGGGTATAGTTTTAAGGTGTCTGGGTGTGCTTTTTTTTCAATGAAATTTGGCAGGTAGTAAGAAAAAAGGTTATTAAAGGTGAGAGGCTATATTTAAATAATGATCCAGCATTTCTTTGATATATATTTGATGTCCAAAAAACAAGCAAATTGTTACCTATTTTGGGTATAGTTTTAAGGTGTCTGGGTATGCTTTTTTTTCAATGAAATTTGGAAGGTATTAAGAAAAAAGGTTATTAAAGGTGAGAGGCTATATTTAAATAATGATCCAGCATTTCTTTGATATATATTTGATGTCCAAAAAACAAGCAAATTGTTACCTATTCGGGGTATAGTTTTAAGGTGTCTGGGTGTGCTTTTTTTTCAATGAAATTTGGCAGGTAGTAAGAAAAAAGGTTATTAAAGGTGAGAGGCTATATTTGAAAAATGATCCAACATTTCTTTGATATATACTTGATGTCCAAAAAACAAGCAAATTGTTACCTATTTGGGGTATAGTTTTAAGGTGTCTGGGTATGCTTTTTTTTCAATGAAATTTGGCAGGTAGTAAGAAAAAAGGTTTCTAAAGGTGAGAGGCTATATTTGAAAAATGATGCAGCATTTCTTTGATGTATACTTGATGTCCAAAAAACAAGCAAATTTTTAACAACAATTAAATTCATAATAAATAAAATTTTACATAAAAAAATCCGTGCAAAATTAAAGTTCCATAATTCTAGTATTCAAAAAAAAGTCTAGTTTGATACACAATTCTAAAAAATAACAGAGCAAAACAAGTTCATACCATGCAACTTTTTAACAAACTTGAAAAAGCGTGTCACAGAATTTGGCGAAAAAAACGGTTCCGTAAAATCCGGATTTACGCGTACCTATATATATGTATATATATATATATATATATATATATATATATATATATATATATATTATATATATATATATAATTCTATAAAAAGTTATGAGGTTTTTAGTAGCAAATTTTTGATATATGGATTTGTTGAAGAAACTGTGGTCAAAATTTAATTTTTCTTCACTTAAATTGTTATAACTTTGTCAATTCTTATTTAAATACCTATAACTTGGTATCAAAAGATAGATGTAACAGTGGGCTACAAATTTATAACTACCTCTACCTACTGGATGTTTCCTGGGGGCTAGAGGGGGTGCCAAACCACTACCTTCACTGTAAAAATAAGCATATTTCTTTCATTAAAGAGTGCTTTTTTTCAACAAATGGAAATTTTTTCATACAAAAAGTTGCTATAATTTTATTCCAGACTAATGATTGGTGTATATTAAATTTGGTGGTGGATATGGTGGATGGTTTAACACACCCTAGTTTCAAAAATCTTTTACGTTTATAAACATTTCTATTTTTAATAAAACAAGTGAAATCAGTATACAATATGAAAACAAAAAAAAAATTGTTCTTCAAGATTTTTGATTTATTGGTGGTGTACATATTGACAATAGGGAGGGGCATGTACCCCCCCCCCAACCTTAAAAAAAAGAAAGAAAATGTAAATAAATTTTTATAATTTAACAGTCGTAAATACTGTAAAATAAATTACCAATTTAAAACGTGAACTAGTCTGTTAGCATTAGGCATAATCTAGGGGCTTGAACACCACCACAAATCTTAAATTTGAAAAACGTCTCTCATCTGCTATTTGTAAATTTTGGTTAGGATGAGAAGTTTATTGAATGTGGCAGTAATAGAGGCACGCATTCTAAAATGAAAAGATGTTTAATTCTTTAAAATATTTGTATCTTTAATATATTAGTACAATAAATTAGTATGAAATAAATTAGTATGAAATATGTTTCATTACAAAATCAAAAATATCAGTGTTGTATCCAATTAGAAAAAAAGCTAAACACGAAATGTATAAAATTGTTGATAAATTATCAGATTTTGAGACATCTACCACTGTAAGCTACCAAGTAACCACTTTGATTAGTGAATATTAGTATCAAAATGGTTATTATATTAATCTAAATGGTGATCTTATATATAAATAAAAATAAATTTAAAGTAAAACAATTGATCATATATATAAAAATCAGAACCTAATAGAAATTACCCTTCATAATAAAACCTTCCTTAAGAAGAATGTGAGATGGTTGTTGAATGAACGAAAAACTTTGTTTTGTTTGAAAGTCTAAAAATAAAAGGTTATTACTAACAAATCAATTTTATTTTGTTCTGTATTAAGACATTTTAGATATGCTAAAATATTTGTCATGGTGAATAAATATTGGCTATTTCTTGGTAAAATAATTTTAGTAAACAATTAAAATAATCAATTCCATAAATGGAATTACATAATAATCATTTCTAACGACAGACATGTTAAGGTAAGCCACCTATCAAATAATTTTGCAAGCCGCAACACTTGTGCAAATATCATTCCAAGTCAAATACTTTTACTCTTCTCTAAAAACATACAAATAATGCATCTGAAAGAATTATCAAGTATAAAAATTTTTAATTCTCATGAGTCAAGAAAAATGATTTGTTAGTCCAGTATTTTGAAACTTTAATTACATTTTTTAAAGGTCTTTGATATATATGAAAAGAAGTGAAATAAAAGCATATGGTTGAGTACTTGGTATACCTGACTTGGTATGACTATTGCAAGTTTTATGACTTGCAATACTTTTTCGCAAGTTTGCACTTTTTTGCAATTGCCATATCTGTTTTGCAAGTTTCATCACTTGCGATACCTTATTGCAAGTTTCATCACTTGCGATACCTTTTTGCAAGTTTCATCATTTGTGATACCGTTTTGCAAGTTTCATCACTTGCGATACCTTTTTGCAAGTTTCATCACTAGCGATACCTTTTTGCAAGTTTCATCACTTGCGATACCTAATGTTGTACATAATATCTTTATTATGTACAACTTTAACTTGTTTTAGCTTTTGAAATTCTTTAATTTTCATTGCCTTTTTTGTAGCTTTAAGATTATGCATTATCCTACTGTAATAATATGTGCGCAACTTTTGTTTAAGATCTCTAATTTCAGTTCTCAAAACTTTAATAATTTGTTCCTTTCGTGTAACACTTTGTCTTAGCACTTTTAACTTGTATGGCATACTTTTCAATTTTGCCCTCACTGTTGCTAATTTTTTTTGATGCATGCTGGACGAGACAACAAGCTGAGAAGTTAAATAAGACAACCTGGTTTTCATTTTCTTTTTTCTAGGGCTCAATTCTCCTCTGGATTGTTGCCAATTCTGTACATTGTTTAGTTGTGATAAATTACTTATGTGCTCAATTGATAAATTATCTAAACTACTTGAAACATTAGTAATAGAACTACTTGGGGTAGGACTCAATGATTGAAAGATAGGCAAGATTGGTGCATTGCATGCAAAGGGTTCATTACAAAATTCCTCAAAACGATTACTATCCCTTGAAAAGTTGCAAACCTAACTTTTGCATTTTTTCAAAATGCTAAATATTTGTGTTTTACAAATATTTAAATTAAATAAGTCATTGACTAGTTGAACAGTCTTAATAAATGACTTAATTCATTGTTAATGAATAAAAAAAGTACATGCCCATTTTTACAGCAACTGTAAAAATGGGCATGTACTGTTTCGGCAGGTAATAAGAAGTGTGTATCTAAATACTCTTTAACTGCACCACGAAAAAAGAAAAGATTGCTTTTTGGGCCCATTGTTGCCTGAAAAAATTATAAAGAAAGTATAACTACCAATTAATAATATAACTTACAAAAAATATTACTTATATTATTAAAAATACTTATAATAATATTGTGTTATTGCATAAATAAAAAACACTATTTATACACACACAAAATGCAAAAACACATTGCAAATGTTAACATAAAAAGAAAAAACTGCTTTTAAAATACCTTGCATACCTGTAACTAGAAATATAGCAATCAACTGTTAATTTTTCAATTTCAATGAAATCAATAAAATTTAAGGAACTATAAACAAGTAATTAAGTATGTTATATTTCAAAATAACAGCATTGTAAAAAGCAATAACAAATATATTTACTATACATTTTAAATTTGCAACATTGGACTTTTATTTTCTGCACTCATTCCATTTTCAATACCATTATCATTAGTGTAATTAATGTAGCTTACAAGTTAGATGTAGACTCTATTATTTAATATCAACAATATACTTTTATTTAATAATCAACAACATTACTTGCAATACTATTAGCAATAGTGGCGTAAATAATAGTAAATAGATTATTGAATTTTAATGTTACTTGACAATCAATCAAGTTTAATTTCAATATTAATAATAACACTTATATCTAATAATAATTGATATAGTTCAAACAAAGTATATAATAAAAAAAAGTCAACATACTTTCTTGAATTAACTTCGATATTGGATCACCTTCAAATACAACAATAAAAACATTTAAAGTAAGGAAGTTAATTTTAAACAATTATAGTAAGTTATTTATTTGAAATAAAAAACCAAACAAAGGAAAACACATTTAACTGGTACGTTATCAACAACCATTTGATTGTCATAACTTATTAACTGAAAAAAAAATTCTTTCAAACTATTATTTAATTAAAGGTCAATTAAAAACTTACTAGCGATAGCAGTAGCAGATGAAACTAAAGTTAAAAAAATGACACAATAATGCAACAAACAAATCAAACATTGATTTGGCATGTAGACTATAAAGATTGTTAAAAATTCTGACTAATAAACTTACCAGTGGAGGCAGTTGTTGATAATACTAAATATTACATAAAAGAATTATGAGAAGATAAAAAATTCCACTATATTATATTACACATATATAAACTTATATTGCTATATAAAAAAAGATACGATAAACAAACAAGAAAAACACATTATTACGTAATCTATACTCATTTTAAAAAGTCCTAATTAATACACTTACTTGTGGGTGGAGTTGTAGATGGGACTAAATTTTACATAAGAAAGATTAAAAAAAAATTATTTAATATTATATTATATATATCAATTATTTAATATAATATTATATTATTATAGAAAAGCTGCGAGAAAAGAAAACTAAGCAATATGCTTTTGGTTTGAAAAATGATAACTTATAAATTTACCCGAAATAGGGCGTGCAGATCGAACTAAAGATTACATAAAAAAGGTTAAAATAATATGGGAAAACAGTGTGAAAGTTATTTAAAGAATATTTAAAAGCATTTTCCCTGTCACCTGTTCGATTTAAATAAACTTAAGGTTAATATGAAGGAGTTACTTATAAGTGAATAAATAAGGTTCAATTTACATAAAAGAAAAACAAAAAATAAAATAAAAAACTGATTTTTTTGGGCACTTTTTGCTTTTAGGCATTTTTTTTTAAATATAATAATGCTATAATACTATGAGTATTATGATAGTTTAAAAGAGTGTTATTGCACTAACACAGATTATATATATATATATATATATATATATATATATATATATATATATATATATATATATATATATATATATATATATATATATATATATAATATATATATATATATAATTAATTTTAACTGTTAATTAAAGTTCATGTTATTATAAATAATATTAGAAGAAGATAGTTGATATTTTCTTCAATTAAAACCATGATGAAGTGTTATTATTTTGTGTTAGTAACTAAAAACTTATTGTGTTGAACTTTGGAAATGTAGAGGTAAATGGTTCTGCCTCAAACTGTTATGACCTAAGTCAGTTGTAATTATTCAAATAATATTAGATATTAACTGGTAAATTACTTTATAACCTCTTCATAGTTATATCACCAAATTAACCTTATAAAACTCAACTTGTTCCGTACCCCCTCTTACCACCCATTTCGGAAACAGAAAAACAGAAATAAGGTACCAAAACTGCTCAATTTTATAGGCTATCTGCTCAATAATATTTTTCAATGAAATTTGGTAGGTGCTTAAAAAATACATGTAAAAAACTATCTGGGTAGGTTTGCAAACTATCTAAGCATTTCTTCGACAATAATTTCATCTGAGAACAACAACCAAGTTTTTAATATATTAAAAGTCAATACAAAACTAACCAACCACACATAAATGTTACACAAAAATCAAGTTTAACTGTTCTTTTTTTCAAAAATAATCTAAGTTAAGTTATGTTTCTCTAAAGAAACACCACAAAAAAACGTTCGCCTGACGCTACCTAAAAAAAAAGTTCAAAAAACGTGGCACAGAATTTTAGCACAAAATTCGGTTCTGTAAAACACAGATTTCCGCGTACCTATATATATATATATATATATATATATATATATATATATATATATATATATATATATATATATATATATATATATATATATATATATATATATATATATATATATGCACACATATATATAGTATATATATATATGTATGTATATATATGTATTTATATATGTATATTTATATAATATGCAAATGATTTAAATGTGTTGTTATGCCTCTGCATAAGGTTAAAATGTCCATGATGTATTTTTGGCTGAATATATAGTCATGAATACATAGCTGCAAAGTACGAATAAAGCATGGAATTGATGACACACCACTGTTTTTTACTCCAACCTTTATTTTACTTGCATTATCAGTAACTATAAAATAAATTTTGCTTAACAGAATTTCAAAAGACTCTAAACCTTTTTATAAATATTCTTTGATATGAATACCTATGTAATTTTCTGGAAAATGAACTACTCCAAGAAACAACAGTTTCTTAGGTAGCTTTAATTTGATCTATCTGATGTCCAGTTATGCTTAAGAATGTGATTTCCGCTGTCCAAATATCTGTCGTCAGAGATAAATAGTTTGCCGCAGAGACTTTTGTTTTCATATCATCAAACAGTTCATCATACATCTTCTCCTCTAGTTCAAACTCTTTGGTGTGCTTTAATCACAAATGTCTTATCATGTAAAATGTTGCATATCTTCAAACAATTCATCATACATCTTCTCTAGTTCCAACACTTTGGTGTGCTTTAAGCGCATATGTTTAACTATTGCAGTAGTTCCATTGGACTTTAATTATTTTCCTCTTCTCATAATTAAACTATCACATAGTTTGCATTTGCACATTTGAGGAGCAGTGCTTATATTGATAAACCTCCATACTATACTTTGTTTAGACATAATTTTACTATAAGATAAAATTTCTATAATGAAGATTTTCGATGAAGGTTTTTAATTAAGTATTTTAAATAAAACAATTATCATTATAATCTTTTTAAAAATAAGTTCATAATTAACTATTTAATAATAGCAAAAGATCCCGCAGAAGAATACGTAAAATATTTAACTTTTAACTCTACTTTTAAGATTTTTTGCTTGTGATGATTGTTTACAATATAAATTTAAGAAATCTTGCATGTTTAATGTAAGCAGTCATTGTAAATATTTAATTATTGTAATGTTTAATTATTGTAAACAGTTATTTAAAAGTGAATTATGCAACTCAATTAGATCAAAGTATCAAATGAATAAGTATCAAACTTATTAAAAATTTAATTACTAAAAATTCTGTAATTATTTCATTTTGTGTTACAAACATAAATCAGTTTCCTTTTTGCAATATATTCTGACTATTTTGCAAAAATATGTTTTGAAAAAAATTTTAAGTGAGACATGTCTATATTGACTTTGTGGTTATCGACTCCATAGCACTCTTAGACTTTTATCAAGATGTTTATTGGTTGAAAAGAAGCTGAAAGCAATCCTGTTAATAATATTTTGACACAGTTTAACACTAAAACAAATTGTTACAGCAATTAAGGTTTATGTTAGTTAAAAATTTCTTTTAAGATACTTAAAAGAAATTTTTGGCGGGTACTGCAATAAATTGGCAGATTCTGGGTGCTCGGCAAAACAGCAAAATTACCGTGTCCCAAGGTCCGAACCGGGTACTCGGCACATCTCTATTATCAATAACTTCATTATAAACTATTATAGTTTTTATTAATTTCAAAAAGAAACTTGTTCAGAAAATTGTAATATAAAAGTTAACTGATATATTTATTATTTTTTATATTTCTATAAATTTATAATTTTTCTTAAATAAGTATAACTTTAATAAAGTTAGAGAGAGGGGGGAGAGGACAATTGATGTAAGTTTAGTAGTTCGATTTTTTTATACAATTTTGTAAAGTATATTGTTGCCATAAATTAGTATAGTGGCCATAAATATACTGACAAAAGTTTAAAATTTATGCAAAAAATTAACAAGCTTTTTTTTGCAAACCTCTATATATTCTTTGTTTTTTTATTAAAACAATTACAATGTTCTATCAAAAACAATTTGTTATTTATTTTGGAAAGAGGAGGACTCAGTAAGTGGGTTGCCATTCATTAATATAGGAATGTTGACCATACTGCAATAATTGTTTGCAGTAAATAACTGAGTTTTTTTGGAGTTAAATTTTACAAGCCACTGTGAGTCCCAATCAGTTACAGAAGTGCAATCAGATTCAATATCTGCTGCCTGTTCTAAGTGATTAAAAAGAGGAGACTTTTTGCCAAGACAGGAGTATAAAGTTAAGTCATTAACAAAAAGGGCTACTTTAGATGTAAGGTTGTAATTTTGTAATTACTTAAGATGTAAGTTTGTAGGAAGATAGTTAATGAAAATAAGAAACAAAAATTAGGACCATGGGTGGAACCTTAAGATACCCCAGAAGTTAATGGAAATAAAGAAGAATGTTGGCCTTTAAGGATGACTTAAAGGCCAACATTCAAGGATGACTTTAGGATGAAGTGGTTAGAAAGAAATGATTTCATTATCTCAAAAACTTTCCCGGACACACCATATAAAGCAAGCTTATGGAGAAGACCAGAATACCAAACTTTATCAAAAGCTTTAGATATGCCTAGAGCAATAGCCCTAGCCTCACTGCCTCCATCTAATGCATGATAAAACCTTTCAGTTATAGCAGTTAGCAAGTCAGCCATAGAGCGAGAGGATCGAAAACCGTATTAATTGTCTGACAGTAAGTTATTTGACTTAAGATGGGATGTAAGAAATTTGTTGATCAAAAACTCAAAGACCTTGCTAATCACAGAAAGAAGACTGATTGGACGATAATTGGAGGGGTCAGAATGTTCTCCAGAGTTTTTGAAAATTGGAACAACAGATGCCGATTTCTAGCAAGCAGGAAATCAAGACACAGTCCAGCACTTATTAAATAGTTTAGAAAGAATTGAAGAAAGTTCTGGAGAACAATTTTTTAAGACTGTAGAAGAGTTTAATTGAGATATGACTTAAGCAGCGGAAGCTGGAGTGATTTGAATCTCTAACAATAGGTCAACCTGTTTAACTGAAATGGAAGGAAGAGAATGGCCATAAGATTCAAAAGTGGAATTAGAAGAAAAGTTGTTTGCAAATAGTTCTGCCTTATCCTTGGGAGAGATAATAAAATCAGTCCCATGAATGAGAGAGGGAATGTTAGCCCTTCCCTTGTTAATGACACTGTTGAAGATTTTCCAAAAGTCTCTAGAGCTTAACTTCTGAGATGAGATGCATGATTTTGTGAACTGAGAATAATGGAGCTTAGCATCAGACAGCACCTTTTTATATCGATTTCTTGTAATAACAAATTGCCGTTTGTTCTCAAGAGAGTTGTTCTTTTGAAAAAAATGATTATGATTAGATATAGCAACTGCAAAAGGAGGTGAAAACCATGGAGTAGAATAAGGGTTTCCTTGGAACTAGAAGGAATAAAAGCTTCCATTTCTGCCTGAATCCAGGAGGTTACATAAGATGCGCATTTTTCAGCTGAGAGAGAAAAAACATCAGCCTAAAGACCATCACAAAGAAAATCACAAAAAAAATCCCAATCACCTTTAGGGTAGTAGTAAATAGTGCGATGGTAGGGTGAGCCCTAAAAAGAAGTACAAGAGGAAAGATTAATAGAGATCATTGCATGGTCAGAACCACCTAAGGGAGAAAAGGGAGAAAATAAACATGACCTGGGCTCAGAGACTAGAAATAAATAAAGGAATGAAGGTAAATTATTAGGGTTGTTGAGAAATGGAGTTACAAAGTTAACTATCTGATTAAGAGATTGAGAAATGCAGATGTTATAGGCTTTAGCGCCAGCAGAGTCAGTGGAGTTAGAGCCAAGCCATTCATTCAAATAGGGGAATTGATGCGTATGTATACCCCTAAACCAAGCTTGTTACCATTGGAATCTTTGCGAATCAAAGGATAGTACTCATCAACACTGAGATCATAAGATGTAATTTCAGAATCTAAGTTTGTCTTGCTAAACTTGCTAAGTCTGGTGAATTTTGCAAGAGGTAAGATTCAACTGATGGAAGATTGCTGTGCAGACCACAAATATTTGTAAAAGATATATTAACACAGTTAGGTGGTAGGAATGGTTTTTTATGTTTAAAATTTTTGGTTACTTTTGGCATAATTTAGGTTTAATAAGAACTTGACTCATTTCAGATCGAGCACAGCCTCCTAAGCAATGAGCTATGCAGTTGTCTCGGTCCTGTTAATTAACCCTAAGTCATGATGTAGGGCTCTCTATGTGGCATCGACAATAGAGATAGAATGCACACCAAAAACATTAACAGAGACACCATCCATGCGCAACATGGCACTGTTAATGTTCTGATATTTTGCAGCTGTTGATGGAATTAGGCTCTCTGAGAGCTACCACACAGTTTGGGAATTCTTACTATCTTTCGGTCTCAGAACCATTAAACTGAGTTTTAGAGCTGTACCTTTATTTGGAGTAACAGGAAGAGTTACCTAGCCACTATTAAGGAGGCATACGAAAAATTCTATGAGCAGAATTAAGAAGATCCAGTATTCATCGACCTAGACAGGAAACAATATTATACAGGTTTTACATCTATGTCAGCCTAATAGATGAAAAAGGGGTTCCACACTTGTTAGCAGAATCGTTCTGCTTACCCCTAAAGTCTTTGCCTTGGAGTTCTTCCACAAGACAGTAGGTGGATGCACTTAACATCTGTCCAAGATAAGTATTTTTATCGAGACACCAACTTTAGTCTTTACTCAACGCAGAGCTCTAGGGCAGGGAAGTTTTAGCTGAATGTAGTTAACTATTGCCCAAGATGAGTAATTTTATCTAGACACTATCTCTAGCCTTTACTCAACAAAAACGCAAAGGCAGGGTATTTTTTTGGTAGGAGTTTATTTCTCCTAGCCTTTGCTTAATAGAAGCACACTCTACAAGGCAGTAGGGGTTGGGGCAGGTAGTACTGGGTTGTATGATGCCAGTACCAGGTTGATCATTGTGATTCTGGACCTCACCTGACCTGGGTTAGTTAAAAGGAATTACTTCCTGCAAACAGTTCTTCAAAAGTACCAGGCATGACTTTTTGGAAATGCATTAGAAAAAACACTACGTCTAACAAAAAACAACTAAGGAGGCTAAGGTGAGCATAGGTTTTATAGTTGGAGTAAGTAGTTAGTTACTGAGTTCTCATTGCATCAAAGATTTAAACAGAACACAAACATACATAAAGTAACTTATGAGTGAATGAACACCATGCCAGAGGTTCATACAGAACACAAGCATACAGATAGTAACATAGGGGTGAGTCAAAATCGCTCTAGAGGTTTTGACAGAACGCAAACATGTATAAAGTAACTTAGGTGTGAGTAAACACCGCACTAGCAGTTCAGGCAGAACACAAACATACATTAAAAAACATAAAGTAAGTAACGGGTAAGTCAACACCTTGCCAGAGGTTTAGACAGAACACAAACATACATATTTTAACAAATAGATAGAGCACAAGCATGCTGGGTTTAAAACATATATGGCATCTTTTTCTTCTTTAATAAAGGTTTAGAACAAAATAAAGACAAGTTATTTTGTAATAAGACTTTGAATGAATGTGATTGATACATTATTCTGTATTGTTACTTGCTTATAAATAAATTTTTTTAAATGACCTTTAAATATCGTTTACAATAAACATGTAAGATAATATGTAAGATATGTAACATAGTAAATTGATTATTTTTTATATTATGTTTATGTTATAAATATCAAAATTATAAAATAAAAGTTATTAAATCTTTAAAACAAAAATGTATAGTACTATTGAATATTATATATTTATAATCTTGTAATTTTTTAATAGAAACATCAGAATGGAACAAAATGTTGGATTTCCAAAGAAAGAAAAAAATATACTTCTTAACCAAGTGTTCAAATTAAAATTTAGCAATAGTGTTGGAGAAGATTGGAAAACTCTTGGACGTTGGTTAAATATTAACGATAGCTATTTAGGCATGATTGATCAAGATAATACTAAAACTGTTGAGAAAGCTTATAATATGTTATCTAAATGGATGGAAATGAATAAAAATCCAACACTTGAAGAGTTAAAAACGTCTTTAAAGAACATGGAGAGATTTGATCTAATAAGAAAATTAGAGGAATTAGCAAGTAATTATTTTTGAATAATTACTAATATTTTTATTATAATATTTGTATTATTTACACTAAATTATATTTTGTTTTGTGATAATTGAAAAATAGGCTGTGGAACATTATTTACAACACACTATTTTGAATATGTATTGTGTTCTTCAATTATAGCACTGTTACAAATAAGATATGCTTTCTTTTTTTTTTATGCTAGTTTGTCTCCCCAAGACAATAAAGGCCACTATATTTGAGGAGGCTACTTTTTTTTAAAATTTAAATTGTGGTAACAACCCACTCTCAACTTTATAACTCTGAAACACGAATCTTGACAAACACAGCCACTCTTGAACTCTTTGAGAGTTCAAGAGTTTAAGACTTAAGGTGGAAAATGATTTTTTTTCATCTAAGAATTTTTCAAAAATATGAAATTCATAAAATTTAATTTTGTAAAAATATAATAGACTCAAATACTTGCTTTAGCTTTTTTGTAAATTTTCATTTCAAAACCTTTCTCTGTTTATGGAAGCTTTTCATATCTCTATATTAATGGAGATTTAAAATACAGATTTAAAATACATGTTATTAGTTTCAGTTGTTGTTATTTTTTTCACGAAAACTGAAATCAATTATGGATTTAAAATAAATATTTTTATTTCAACCCGTAATTTCTATAAGATTTAAATATCAACAAAATTTGCTAATATAAAGCAAATTTAATTATTAAATTATTTTTGTTACCTGATTAGTAAAATCAGTTAATTAACTTAATTAACCATAAACTTTGATCAATTTAAATAAAGTTAACAAATTTGTTGCATATTATTTATATTGAGTTTTATAATGAATTTTTTTTGTTTTTATCTCACTTGTGCAGTTTTGTCATTATATATCTATGGTTACATATTTTGAATCATTAGTTTTATGTGCAGTTATCAATTATAGTACAAAATTTTAGTGATTCTATTATTCTATTCTTTATGTTGGAAGGTTAATTTATTATGGTTTTACACTGTTGAGTATTCAGTTATGTTGTTTTTGTTTTCTCGGCAAATACATTCTTTTTAGCTTAACACCTCTCAGTTACAAACACTAGTCGCATTTTCAGATTTGTCTGATTTTTTTAGTTTTATTGCTCTCTGTAAACTTAGTTATTATTTATATTGTATTTGATGTTAGTATTTGTTGTTCCATGCAAACTGAGTTTAATTTTTACGTTATTCTTTTGGCTTTTATACAGGTAGACAAAAAAATGTTCCTATTCTATTAATATTCTATTAATAGAAAGAATAGCATTGATTATCATTTCAATTTTTATTATTAATAAATTTGATGTAAATATATCATCTAATGTAAAAATAAAAATAATAAATTTAGAATGAAATTTAAAATTTTCTCTGGGTAACTACTTTTTAAGATTGTATTCATCTTTGTACATAAGTCTGATTAATGAAAATTTTGACAATTTTTTTCTTAAATTTTCTGTTCTAAGTGATCAAAAAGAGAAAATTTTTTGTGAAGACAGGAGTATAAAGTTGAGTCATTAGCAAAAAGGGCTACTTTAGATGTAAGGTTGTAATTTTGTAATTATTTAAGATGTAAGTTTGTAGGAAGATCGTTAATGTAAATAAGAAGCGAAAATTAGGACTATGGAACCTTGAGATACCCCAGAAGTTAATGGAAATAAAGAAGAATGTTGGCCTTTAAGAATGACTTTAATGAAGTGGTTAGAAAGAAATGATTTCATTATCTCAAAAACTTTCCTGGATACACTATATGAAGCAAGCTTATGGAGAAGACCAGCATGCCAAACTTTATCAAAAGCTTTAGATATGCCAAGAGCAATAGCCCTAGCCTTACCGCCTCCATCTAATGCACGATAAAACCTTTTAGTTATAGCAGTTAGCAAGTCAGCCATAGAGCGAGAGGATCGAAAACCGTATTAATTGTCTGACAGTAAGTTATTTGACTTAAGATGGGATGTAAGAAATTTGTTGATCAAAAGCTCAAAGACCTTGCTAATCACAGAAAGAAGACTGATTGGACGATAATTGGAGGGGTCAGAATGTTCTCCAGAGTTTTTGAAAATTGGAACAACAGATGGCATTTTCCAGCAAGCAGGAAGTCAAGACTCAGTCAAGCACTTATTAAATAGTTCAGAGAGAATTGAAGAAAGTTCTGGAGAACAATTTTGTAAGACTGTGACAGGAATGTTGTATGGACCACAAGCTGTAGACGAGTTTAATTGAGATATGACTTAAGTAGCGGAAGCTGGAGTGATTTGAATCTCTAACAATAGGTCAACCTGTTTAGCTGGAATGGAAGGAAGAGAATGGCCATAAGATTCAAGAGTGGAATTAGAAGAAAAGTCCTTTGCAAATAGTTTTGCCTTATTCTTGGGAGAGGTAAGATTGGTCCCATGACTTAGAGATGGAATGTTAGATCACCTTTGTTAATAACACTGTTGAAGATTTTCAAAAATCTTTAGAGCCTTCTTCTTAGATTTTTTTCTTGTAATAATAAAAAGTTGTTTTTTTTTCAAGAGAGTTGTTCTTATAACAAAAAAGAAAAAAATGATTACGATTAAATATAAAAGCAGCACAAGAAAAAGAAAACCATGGAGTAGCATAGCAGGAATGAAAGCTTCCATACCTGCCTTGATCCAAGTAGATACTTAGGTAGTGTAATTATTAGCGGCAAGGTAAAAAAAATCACTACATGAACAAAATCACAAAATGAAGCTCAGTCAGCTTTAGGTTTGTAGTAAATAGTACAATGATAGCCTGAAGGAAAAGTATGAAATAAATGATTTATAGAGATCACTGCGTGATCAGAACCACTTATAGAACAACCATCTAAAAACTTAGACTAAGGTCACAGGCAAGACAAAAATTAAGGGAGAACAATAAAGAACAAAACGAACTGTGATTGAGTAAAAAGGTTTTAATCCGAAACAAATAAAAGATTAATCAGAGGATTCAACTCTGATTTCTTGACAAATAGATGAGGTGATGCCTACGTATACACCCAAGTCAAGTGTGTGACAACATTTTTCTATGAAATTGCTTTTATAGAAATACTGAAGGTGAATATATGATTTATAGTTGTAGTCTTTAGTTGGTAACTGAGCTTCACCAGAGATTCGAACAGCATGCAAACATTTTTATAGTAACTTACATGTGAATGAACACAACACTAATTGTTCAAACATAGCGCAAGCATACCAATATCAACTTATGGCTGAGTGAACACTGCTCCAAATGTAAAATGCACTTCATAAAAATATATAAAAACAGTTATTGAAAAGATAAAAGTATATGAAATAAAATATTCATGCAATACTCATTAAAAATCTGCGATGCAGTTATAATAAAAGTAAAAAGTTTGTTTCTCTTAACAAAGATAAACACTTTGAACATTTTTGAAACACATTCAATATTTTTTAAACTTTTATTTTGTGCTTACGTATTATTTCTTAATTAAGTTTTGAATTAATTAAAAGTATATTTAATCAATATTCTAAAATTGTAAAAAGTATTGCTTTTAAGAAATATTTTTTACAATTTTATTCGTAGATAAATTGTAGTGAACTAGCGCTTTTTAAAATTATTATTATTTATTCATTTTAAAATAAATTAAAAAAAAGTTTACTATTTATTAGTAAATAAAGATTTTATACTATTATTATATAAAAGTTATTATATTATTAATATTATAAAGATTAATACCCATAAATATACCAAATAATCTATCTGTATATGATTTATTAATTTATTAAAGAATGTCAAAAGTGCCAGTACTCGAGCATGAATATTTAATGGATCTAAGAAATATGCTCATTGATCTTTTAGATAAGGAAAGTAATTTTATGTTAACCAAAGCATATGAAAGAAGCACAAAGAGACAGAAATACTATGATTTTTTTTTTGTCTTGCAAAAGCAGTCTGGAAGCATCAGTTAGTATTACTTCTGATATAGATGCATAAATTAATTCTGGTGAGGAGTTTATAAATGGCACTCAGAGCAATGTTGATGAGGATTATTTATTTCTAACAGTTGCCATCGTATGTGACAGATATGGTGTATCCGATGTTCCTGGAGCTCTAATAACATCTTTGATATTTGTTGATGATGTTCAAGGGCATCATCAACAAATATCAAAGATGTTATTATTATTTCATGGGTTGAATTAGCATAAAAAAATCTAATCGCGAAAAAAATAAAATAAAAGTAAAAGTAAAAATACAAATATTACAAAATTTAAATCACTTTAATTAGTTATAGAAAACTATTTATTACGATCGTGCTGACAATAAAACACATGTTATTTTTAAAGGGTATTGAATCGTTTTCGTAAAAAAGCTATAAAAACAACAACAAAACAATACTGCAAAGTTGTTTTGACAATATAAAGAGCTTGTGTTAATGTAAAACAACTTAGTGAAACTGTTTGATTACTGTTTTATACAGGTTGTAACATTAATAACATAAAACACGTTTAAAATAAAACGAAATAGAGTTTTTCTAATTATTAAATTAATTACCGTCAACCGGGGCTACTTTACTCCGTTTTCAATGGTTATTTTACTCCAGTTAAATTTAGGCATAGTAAAAAATTTGCTTAATGAATTAAATTGATTTTTTCAAGTTCTAATACGTTGTTATAACTGGTCTATGAAGAAAAGAAAAAAAAAAGTTTCAAAATTTAATGTTTTAATTGAGGTATTAAAATTGGTGCAAAGTAACCCCAATAAGAGGGTTACTTTGCACCACATAATAAAATTTGTTTTTAATGTTAAAAACAAATCTTGCCAAAAAGGTAATTTTAGTATAAAGTTTAGTTCAAGAATTTCACAAAACACTATTTTAAATAAGTACAATACTTTATGTAACTAAAAATATGGTTTTAAAAGTAAAAACAAAAATCTTGCACATAAAGTTGATTTAATTATAAAGTTTAATTCAGGAGTTTCACAAAACACTACTTTAAATAAGTAAAATGCTTTCTTTTAAATAAACAA